AATTAACGATAATTAATATTAATTAACGATAATTAATATTAATTAGTAGTAATTAATATTAATTAACATTGATTAAATTGATTAAATTAATTAAAATTCATTAAAATTAATTAAAATTAATTAAAAATAGGATGCTATGAATGTGGTTGGTATTTCAGAAAATGAACAAATTGATCTATTTCGTGTGGTTGCTGCGGTTTTGCATCTTGGAAATATCGAAGTATCTTCAAGTAGAAACGATCAAGCTCAAGTTTATGAAACTACTACTTCAGAAAATGTTTGTAATTTATTGGGTATACCTATTACGGAATTTACAAAAGGCCTTCTTAATCCTCAAGTCAAAGCTGGTAGAGAATGGGTTACTCAAGCAAGAACCAAGGAACAAGTTCTTTATTCTATTGAAGCTCTTGCAAAATCATTATATGAACGAAGTTTTTTTGCTTTAGTTGATCGAATAAATAAAGCTATATACAGACCTAATAATAAATCCTATTTCATTGGTGTTTTGGATATTGCCGGATTTGAAATTTTCAAAGTAAATTTTTATCTACTTTAATGTCTTTCTAATAATTTCATATATAATTTCATATATAATTTCATATATACTTTCATATTGATTTTCTTCTTTCATTTTTTAAAAGGTTAATAGCTTTGAACAATTATGTATAAATTATACAAATGAAAAACTTCAACAATTCTTTAATCATCATATGTTTGTTTTGGAGCAAGAAGAATATAAGCTCGAAGGTATTGAATGGAAATTCATCGACTTTGGCTTGGATTTACAGCCAACAATTGATTTAATAGATAAAGCCAATGTATGTTCTTGTGTTATTCCATTAATTAAAGTTATTAATTAATGTTATTAATTAATGTTAATGTTATTAATTAATGTTATTAATTAATGTTAATGTTAATGTTATTAATTAATGTTATTAATTTTAATATCTGTTTAGCCTGTCGGTATTCTATCTTGTCTTGATGAAGAGTGTGTAATGCCTAAAGCTACTGATAAAACTTTCGTCGAGAAATTACATAGTTTTTGGAAAGATAAATCTCCAAAATATCAAGTTCCTCGTTTTCAACAAGGTTTCATTCTACAACATTATGCCGCCAAAGTAGAATACAGAACTTCTGGATGGCTTGATAAAAATAAAGATCCTCTTAATGAAAATATTACAAAATTATTGGCTCGATCTTCTAATCAATATATCGCTTCACTTTTTTCGGATTATCTTGGTGATATAACTGATAATGATAAAAAGAATAGAGTTAAACGTGGTGTTTTCAGAACTGTTGGTCGTCATCATAAAGAACAATTACATTCTTTAATGAAACAACTTTATTCAACTCATCCTCATTTTGTACGTTGTATTGTTCCTAATGAAGAAAAATCTCCGGGAAAAATTAATGTTCCTTTAGTTCTTGATCAATTACGTTGTAATGGTGTTTTAGAAGGAATTCGTATTTGTCGTGCTGGTTTCCCAAATCGTTTATCCTTTAATGAATTTCGTCGTAGATATGAAATTTTAACTTTGGGTATTATTCCTAAAGGTTTTGTTGATAGTAAAGTTGCCGCTGAAAAACTTTTGGATGCTTTTAAATTGGATCCTTCTCAATATCGTATTGGTTCAAGTAAAATTTTCTTTCGTGCTGGTGTGGTATGTTTTTAATTTTCTTATTAATTCATTATTATCATTTTAATCAATGTTAATTAATATTAATTACTACTAATTAATATTAATTATCGTTAATTAATATTAATTATCGTTAATT